CACAGTCAAGCTGAAATAACCCACGGTGATAGACCTTTTAGAGTGTTCTTATGGCAATTAAACCGGCAGTCAAACCATCAGGCAAGTTATTCCATCTGACACAACCCACGGTGATAGGCCTTTTAGAGTGTTTTTATGGCAATACAACAGGCGGTCATAGCATCAGGCAACTCAGTCAAGCTAATACAACCAAAGATGATATGCCTGTTATAGGGTTCTTATGGCATTAAAACAGGCGATCATAGCATTATGCAACACAGTCAAGCTGACACAACCCCCGTCAAACGTTGTTATTACTGTGTATATTTCAGCTGGATCAATAAGCATTTTGTAGCAATAAACATTCGACAAAGAGACAGTTGTATTTATAGTTTACGACATTTCCAGGCAATTAATCTGCATGAAAGTCAACAAATACCCCGGAATGATTTGCATTTTTATGTTGCTTCCTAATCAGGATTTTCTCAAAAGTAAACACGCACCTCATTAACCAAAACGATTGCCAGTATTGTCTTTTTTCTTCTGAAGGTTTAAAGCAGCATGCCTCCACATCCATGCTTATTGTCATGACAATTTTGAAAAATGTATTTAAAAGTAAGATATTGTGAAGTGAACAAAGAAAAAAATATACATTGCAAACGCCACTTAAAATCTACGTAAATTACCACGAAGTTGTCAAAATATGCAAAAATAGCGCTTACTGCGTTAGCCACGCGGTTAAAATACGTTGATAAATAATGCAAAATCAGTCATTAATCGCACATTACATGGAACTTATTTCTTATATATTCTTAAAATCTAAGTGCATTTTTTGAAGTTTTATTTTTTTGAAATACTTTGATATATCTGGAAGCATGTAGTTCGTTGTTGTACGTTTATTTATTATGCTTTGGATTTCATTTCATATTCTTCATATAAAGCTGTTTTATACTTATGGTTGTTTTAGTATTTTAGTTATTTATTTGTTCAATTAGGAACAAACGAGTGTTTTATTACCATAATTTATGTAGATCTATTTCTAGCCCTTTCAGAAAGAATGAAAAGCTGACAAAACATGACAATACATGTTGCTTTGGGCCTACCTTGAGAAGTTATTACGGTCTCTGACATCAAATTACTTGCCCCTCGTTTTTTTTAGTTCGAATCCCGCCAGGGACTTTGGTTAAAAAAGCTATCCAGCCATGTTACGGAAGGCAAGTTGACTGCACTCAGGAGCCCGCTATGAAGTAATTAACGAAGAGGCATCTGAAGTCTACCTTCACCATTAAAGCTAGAAAGTCACCGTATGACCTTTTTCAGTGATGATGTAACTTCCAAAAAACAAAAACAAAAATATTTGCTTGAAACAAACGAAGTGTATCAATAATTAGAATAAAAAATAAGCCAATTCCACTCGCTCAAATGATTGATGATCTGTTCTCTAGTAATTAGAATAATTCAAAGATTGCATGCTTGTAAAGAGCAAATGTTGAAAACAGATCCTTTAATTATCCTTCCAATGCCAAGAATGAAAATTGAATAGCTTGTAATTATAACAATTACATTACAAAAAAGCTAGGTCTCAGAAAATCAAGATTTATTAGGAAAAATATTGTTATGATAAGCAGGCCCTAATTTGCGTGTTTTTCGTCATTATGAATGGCTTAATTGATATCATGAAAACATTACTGCGATAAAACATTTGTTTGTATCCGGGAAAAAATCATACATATGTACAAAAATGACAGAATACTTATTCTGATAAAGTTCGTTATTTTTTTGAATTTTATCTTTATTTTATGTTGCTAAATTCGCCGGTTAAAACTTCTCACCCTTCATTCCTTTTGTTGTATTCCGTTGCCATACGTTGCCAGAACTTTAATTTTGTAATTTGGTATATTTGTCTAGGACATTTCTAAGAGTTACAGACAATGGATTTTGTTCCACTTTCGCTGTAAAACCTATCCTTTTTTAAGGAAATAAACGTGATTTAGATCAATGTTTTTTATCAAATCTTAAACGAAATACATACATTTTGCATTTTGAAATATATGATATACTAAAAAAAAAAATTAAATTTAAAAAAAATTTTAAAAAAAATCGTCTCAAATCCCAAATAACGTGCCTCATCTAATTTAGGTTTCACAGCTGTGTATTTGTCCAAAAGAAATCAGTCTTGTACTAAAAACAAGTGTATAATAACCTAAAAATATCAAAATTTGAGTCAGTAATAAAAGACAATCGTTCAATAAATGGAGTACTCATTCAATGTTCTCTTATTGGAAATAAAGAATCTAAGTTGTTAGGTTTATTTAACGACACAATAATTGAAGAACTTTATAAATGTTTTATTAGCTCAAGGGAACAAACTCTAGGACAGTATATGTTTTTAGTTCTACACAATTCATATCCCTAGAGCTCCAATAGATCGAGAATTTTTACTTTTGTATGCATCCACATTTTATAAGCCTAGGTCGGTGCCCTTTGGTATGGTTCTTTTTCAGCAAATTGTAATAATAAAAAGACTTACAATTAATTTAATTTACTAATACATTTTGTAATATTTATTGAACCTTTTACCATATAACCAATGCACTTTCAGCATTTGCATTCATTCGCAAATGATAAACGAATAAACATTTATTTGTGTAATATGTCGAAAGGGAACAGATTTAGAAAAAGAGGGGAAAAATAAGTGAAAGCGGCTTGTTAGGCTCAAGATTTTCAAAGCCAAAATAAAGGTCGCGACAACTATCACTTATTCTAGTTGGTTCACTGAGTATTTTATTCCATTAATATACTTACAACACTAACAAGCCGATAAATCCTGGTTGAGACATGAATGTTCCCCTACCTTCATAAAACTTACCTGATCATATCCGTGTACAACATTAAATTAAAGAGAGATAACGATAATCCAGTATGTAAAATATTAGTATACTAAGAGTTGTCTCGCTTCGTAAACACTAGAGATACAAAAAGGTAAAAAAATAAACTTAAGATGCATGTTAGGTAATAAAGCTGACCACTTTTGACTATGTAGGTCGTCGGTTTTAAGCGAACAATACTGCAAACAGTGTCATAGAATAACGTTTATAAAGAAAAGAATTGGAGTTATAATTTAACCATTCAATTAGCTTTACATCCTTTGAGTGGAATTTATATACTTTATATTCCCTTTTAGCTACGGTGATATATTTAGTAAAGCAGTATGAAGATTACCCAAGGCCTTTAACACGATGCTACAGCTCGTCAGAAACGCCCGACCAAATAACAAGAACTTGTGGAAGATGCTATAGATGAAGATCACTTTTTCCGATTGACGGCGGTGTAATTCTGTGAATTTGTTGAAGTGTTATTTATTTGCTCGACTAGATCAAGTTTTCTTCCCTTGAACTAGTCGAACATTAAAAGAAAAGCATCAAAATCAAGAGCAGATAACATGAAAACGGGTACGGATACTCTTAGTTTTGTTTTGCTTAAAATGAATTCGTTATCATATTTTAGATTATATAACACTATTGCCCTTATTCTCCTTTCTCCTAATGTTTATATGATTTTTCTTTTTTTTTCATAAAATATAGAGGTTCGCACACATCTTTCAGTGTGTATATTTTGTCTATGCACTTGACGAGCGAGTTTCTTAAATGATCAGATGCAGGCTCTTTCAGTGTGTTTAGCAAATTTAATTAAGCGTTGTTTGGTCTTTCACAACATGGTTTTGCCAATCACAGCGTGATTCAGCCATTCACATCCTGGTCTAGCCTAGCACAGCGTGGCTAAGTTATTCGCATTGAAGTTTAGCCATTTACATCTTGTTTAAACAATCACAGCGTGGTTTATACAATCATATCACAGTTAAGCCAATTGCAGCGTGGTTTAAAAATCACAGCCTGGTTTAGCCAATCAAAGCGTGGTTAGGTAAATCGCAATTGTCCTGATACCAGGGACGTATACTGTTAAGCCTTTATGAGGGTAATAAATAAAACATTACTCACGCTACTATCAGCACAATGTCCTATAAAAATACAAGGATATTAATTCTAGTTTTAGAAAAGGAAACAATACACTATACAATTAACTTGCCCACATGAAATCTTACAGGAAGCTGTACTTTGTTAGATGATTTATTATTCGAGTTCACGATTTTCATGTCATTTTAATTATTCTTAAATTTAATAATAGCATAAGGATGTAAACACCAAATAAAACTTCGAAAGAATCATAAGATGAGGAAAGGCAAATATCAAAATATTGCTTTAATATCAAAACTATAGCGCTAAGGAAAACATATTTCTGTAAAATAGTCGTCTGCTTGGTTGTTTGTTTATTTGTTAGTTTGTTTGTTTGAAAGCTGAACAGGAGTACAAACATAAATGTCGAGCGAAAACAAATTGATTTTGTTCAGTAAATTCAATAAAAAATCGTTTAATCAATTATTCATTTAAGGCGGAAAAATGAAGTTTAAACAGAAGAAAGTAACAATGTGTTAATGACATTTTATTCTTCAACCCTATAGCTGGATAATGAGGCACATTCAAATTCATAATTATAATTCAATATTGTACAAACTAATTTTACTGATAGTTTACATCATTTATAGACAAGATGTTCGCGTTTAACCATGTACCGCTGTTGAAATCAACATGCATTTAGCATTGATTTTATGCGAATGCGCTCCGAAAAGTTTGAGTGTTATTTTATTTGTTTTTGTTTTTTTTTATTTTATAATAAGTCGCTGTTTTTTTAATCTAAATACAAAGATGCTGATGTTGTTCATTTGATGTTAGCCTATATGCGAAAAAGAGAAGTTAGTTAGTTAGTTAGTTAGTTAGTTAGTTAGTTAGTTAGTTAGTTAGTTAGTTAGTTAGTTAGTTAGTTAGTTAGTTACCACACGGAATGATCTATCTATCAGTCTGGACATACATGGATCATTTCTACGGCATTTTTTCAAAAACATGTAGTGAGAAAATAGCGATCAGTAGAGAAGAGCATTTGACATTACAATCAGCAAGACTCTATTTCTTGCTTCCTTTATTCAAGTTTTTTCTTGCTTTAATTCCAGTTTTAATCTAGTTGCAATTCCTTGTAAGGACATCATAGCTGCAGCCACTTCCAATGGCTTCGGGGTTTGTATGTAACGTTTCAAAAGACAAGTTGCATTCTTGACCGGTTGTATAGTATTCCGCTGTTCTGCATATTATTTCTTTACTGTTTGTACAGTTGTTCACACATTCTTCTCTAGTGACTGGTTTTATTGAGTTCGAATTGAACCCGCTAAGATAAGTTTTCACTTCTACTTGGTATGTACTACCATATCGAAAATCTCCACAATCTGAAGTATAGTAGAAGGAGAAACAGAATCTACTTAATGTTATAAGATTATAAAACTTACCCCGATTTCATTTCTTTTTTTATCTAATTGAATAATAATAGCGTATTTTTTTCAAAATAGTCATGCAATAGAATTCATTCTAAACTTTGACCCAAGATTCCTCATGCAGACATTGTAAGCTTTTATCTTTGGCATGCGATTAATAGAAACTTATATTCGTGTAGATTCAATACTAAATTTATTGAACTCATCAGAGGCTCGCATAATATTATTTTATTCAATTTGTTCAATGAATTTAGTGTTAAATCTACATTCATTCAATATCTTCAATATCTTTTATTTCTTCTCAATCTTTTCGTGAATTAATGAAGTTGAAATCGTGAATTCGTGAAGTTAAAATCTTGAATTCCTTATGTTGAAAACGGGAATTCACGAAGTTAAAATTGTGAATTCATGAACATGAAATGGCCCTACCGGTCTTTCGTAAATGTCGTAAAGTCATGTGCATTATTGATTTTTTTTTTCATAGTAAGATATGAAATTAAACACAATTATGGCAAAATGTTAAATTATTTCTATTTTTACCTATTAAATGACCATTTACACTTGGATGGGCATAGATAATAGCAATTTTGATAGTACCTGAGAGACATTTCCTTGTGGTATGGTGGTAGCTCAGACCAGGTTTACATTTACATGCCAATCTTTTACATTCAGCATTTTCAACGTCATTGCACATATCGTCTGAAGTACAATATTGCCTCATAGAACTGATCTCAACGGATTGTTTTTCAACTTTTATCTCTGTTATCTAATAACAAAACTTGAACCTTATGTACCAGTTGACAATCAGTTGATAAAACTACGAAAGTATGAGTAAAATGACACTAAGATGATTAAAAAAGGAAAAAAAAACAATCTTAAACCAGTCCTAACTTGGTTGATAAAAAGAAGCTTAATAACTAGTCAGTAAAAAGAATAAAACTAACATATAGTCATTTTTGATAATAACAAAGAATAAATTAAGATATTACTTAAACGATACTTGTTTGATAAAACAGAGTATTGAATAAGAGTTTCAACTAAAAGATACCTAGTGTTTAAGATACTTAGTGTTTGAAATTAATTTTTGTCCAATCGGATTGCAGTTTTTCAAATGAATCGTAACACATTTACTTAGGTAAGTCGGCAAACTGTATATCAATCTAGTTGATGAACTGTTTATAAAGAAATAAAACACTTAGCTAGTTAGGATTTATAAGACTAAGTACGTATTTACAATCGCGGCTGGTCGCTTAGTTGAAGACTTGATATTTTAAAACGTTTGATAAAAAGTGAATAAAAGATTAACTAAATAACACTCTGTTTGAACAATCCAATAAAAAATTTAAACTTATAAATTTGGGGAAGATTAATTTGATTTTCTTGTTTCATTTGTTTTAAGCAATTAACTATCTTATTCAGAATTTGAAGTTTTGTCTTTATTTATTTAATTTTATATCTTATAGATTGAAACGTATTATGAGTGACAACAAAATGCAAAATAATTACTCACATTTTCGATGACTTTATTCATAGCCTTCTGAATGAGTTCAACTCTTTGCTCTAATTTGGAATGATCGTCGGTAATTTTCGATTGATATACATCAATTTTATTTTTCAACTCTGCAATAGTGAACTCAGCCTTGATAATTCTCTCCAGGGTTTGAGCCTCATAATGGTACCTTGAGCACTGTTGCTCCTCGCCAAGAACGTTGCCGAATAAAGCACAGATGACAAAAATGCCGAAAAAGACATCCATTGTAAGTTTTGAACGAAGAATAACCAGATGGTAAGTGAACAGATTTAAAAATGATTGAACAATTTAAAGGAGGAGAGAGAGTTTGATGGGTTTCTTTCGGATAAAACAATGACAAGATTTTTATTATCATAAGGCAGGTCAAAATTTTGTTTCCGTTTCACAAGTATATCAATATTTATTTGAAGAAACATAAGTACTTGTACATGAAGATACATGTAGGTCTTAAACTGTGTTTTGCGTTAGAACATAGCTGTGTGTACTTTGGCAAACTGAAGTGTTTTATAATACAGATATGGCGTTTTAGTATATTGTCTCATACAAGATACTACTTTCTTTTGTTTGTTTGAATCGGACCGGTTTCATTGGATAATAGAATGCAAATACACATAGAATCGTAGATAATTTTTGGCCGGGTTGCAGTGGTGCAAACCCGGGTTATAGTATGGTGAATGTTGGGCGGCGGCCGGGCGTCCGGGCGGGCGGGCTTGAGGCGGACGGGGAAAAACTTTCGTAACAGTTTTTTCAGCAACTACTTATCACAGCCTTTTGATATTTGGTATACATCATCAATACATGGTCCCATACTGTGGGATTCGATTTCAGGTCTGTCGCTCATCTACTTCCTGTTTGCCGACTTAGTTAAATTTTCTACATTAATGCTCAATAGTAGGAACTTTTCGTAACAGTTTTCTTGGCAACTGCTTATCACAGCCTTTTTATATTTGGTGTACAGCATCAACACATGGTCCCATACTGTGGGATTCGATTTCAAGTCTGTCTCTCATCCACTTCCTGTTTGCCGACTTACTTACATTTTCAACATTAATGGTCAACAATAGGAAATTTTGGTAACAGTTTTCTTGGCAACTATATATCACAGACTTTTGATATACAGCATTAACACATAGTCCCATACGCTGGGATTCAATTTCAGGTCTGTTGCTCATCCACTTCCTGTTTGCCGACTTAGTTAAATTTTGACATTAATGGTTAATGGTTGGAAATTTTGGTAACAGTTTACGCAGCAATTTCTTATCACATCTTTTTGATTTGTATACAGCATTATCAAGTGGTCCCATTCTGTGCGATTTGATTTTAGGTCTGTCGCTCGTCCACTTCCTGTTTGCCGATTTAGTTAAATTTTGACATAATTAATGATCAATAGATAGAAGGAAATTTTCGTAACAGTTTTCTCAACAACTTCTTTCCACAGTCTCTTGATATGTGGTTCACAGCATCGACATGACTGTGGTCCCATATTGTGGGATTCCATTTCAGATCTGATGCTCATTCTTTTCAGGTTTACCAACTAAGTTAAATTTTCAACATCAATGGTCTGACAGTGGTCGAAAATTTCAGTGACATCACAGCCTCATGATATTTTGTACACATATGCAACCCGACCTTTTTATGTCTTTGACCCATTTTCTTTTATTGCTATGGATGATTATTGTTTGGTTATTTAATAAAAAATTAAAATAAAATAGAATCATTAGGATAACCACCTCATATACATACTTTCAACAGTCGATACTATAATACAATCTATTATATATGACACATAATTATATATGGGAAATTTAAAAAGTTTTAAAACTTTTGTATAGTGAGAAGCTGCACTCTTGCTTTTCTTTGTAAACTTCCACTCATATGATTTCGTTATTGATACGTTCAGACGATGGAAACTTGTTTTTTCTTGTAACGTAGGACACTCCTTATTTTGTTAATGACGATGATAACAGTGCAATGTAAAATTATAGAATAACAATGACAATAAGGACTCATAAATTAATCTAAACAGCATTTTAGGACGTGTCCTAAAGCTGATACAAGTCACAGTGATAGACCTTTTAGAGGGTTCTTTTGGCAATAATTCATGCGGTCATAGCATCAGGCAGCACAAATAATCTGACATTACTCACGGTGATAGACCTTTAAGAGTGTTTTTTATGAAATAAATCCGGCAGTGTTACCCTTAGGCAACACAAAAAATGTGACAAAACCCACGGGGATAGGCCTGTTAGAGGGTTCTTATGGCAATAATAACTGGCGGTCATATCATCAGGCAACTCAATCAAGCTGACACAACCCATGGTGATAAGCCTTTTTAAGGCAAATACACCGGCCTTCATATGCTCAGGCAACATAGCCAATCTGACACAACCCACGGTGATAGACCTTTAAGTGTGTTCCTATGACAATAAAATCGGCGATCATAGTATTAGGCAGCACAGCTAAGCTGACATATCCCGCAGTGATAGGCTTCTTAGAGTGGTTTTATGGCAATTCAACCGGTGATCATAGCCTCAGGCATCACTGTCAATTTGACACAACCCACGGTGATAGACCTTTTATGTATTTATATGGTTTTTATGTAATTACTCCGGCAGTGATACCCTTAGGCAACAGAAAAAATATGACAAACCCCAATGGGAAAGGCCTTTTAAAGGGTACATATGGCAATTACACCGGCGATCAGAGGCTCAGGCAACACAGGCAAGCTGGCATAACCCACGGAGGGTTCTTATGGCAAAATAAAAACGGCGGTTATTGCCTCAGGGAAGTCATTCAATCTGACATAACCCATAGTGATAAGCCTATTAAGGGTCCTTATGGCAATAACCACGGCGATCACAGGCTTGGGCAACACAGTCAAGCTGACAAATCCACGGCCATAGGCCTTTTAGAGTGTCATTATGGCAATGAAACAGGTGATCATAGGCAAATCAATAAACCTGACACCCACGGCGATAGGCTTTTTAGAGGGTCCTTATAGCAATAATAAACGCGGCCATAGTCTCAAACAACACAACCAAGGTTACACAACCCACATTGATAGACCTTTTACTATGTTCTTATAGCAATTAAACCGGCTGTTATATTCTCAGGCAAGTCGATTAATCTGACACAACCCACGGTGATAAGCCTTTTTAAGAGTTCTTGTGGCAATTACATCGGCAGTCTTGGCACAGGAAACACAGTCAAGCTGACACAAACAACGGTGAAAGACCTTTTAGACAGTAATTACGGCAATAAAACGGGCGATCATAGCATCAGGCAACACAGTCAAGCTGACACAATCTAGGGTGATAGGCTTTTTAGAGTGTCATTATGGCAATAAAACCGGCGGTCATAGCTTCTGGCAACACAGAAAAGTTGACATAACCCAAAGTGATAGACCTTTTACTGCGTTCTTTTGGCAATAAATCCGGCGATCATAACATAAGGCAACACAGTCAAGTTGACACAAACCACGGTGATAGATCTTTTAGAGTGTTCTTATGGCAATAAAATCGGCGATCATAGCAACAGGCAACTCACAAAAGCTGACACAATCCATGATGTTAGGCCTCTTAGAGTGATTGTATGGAAAAAAATGGCTGTAATAGCCTAAGGCAACACTGTCAAGTTGACACAACCTACTGTGATATAACTTTAACACAGTTCTTTTGGCAATAAAACCGGCGATCATAGCTTCAGGCAACACAGTCAAGCTGACTCAAACCACGGGGATAGAGCTTTTAGAGTTTTGTTGTGGCAATAAATCCGGCGGTCATAGCGTCAGGTTATTCAATCAAACTGACACAACTCACGGTAATAGGCTTTTTAGAGGGTCCTTAAAGCAATAACAACGGCGGTCATAGGCGCAAGCAACACAGCCAATCTGACACAACCCATGATGAAAGACCTTTTATAGTGTTCTTATCGCAATGAACCTGGTGATCATAGCCTCAGGCAAGTCATTCAATCTGTCACAACCCACGGTGAAAGGCCTTTTTAAGGGTCCTTATGGTTATTACACCGTTGGTCATATGCTGTAGCAACACAGTCAAGCTGACACAACCCACGGTTGAAGGCCTTTTAAAGTGTACTTCAGGCAATAACGCCTGCGGTAATAGCATCAGGCAACTCTATCAAGCTGACACAACCCACGGTGATAGCCCTCTTGGGATGTTTTTATAGCAAAACCACTTGCGGTCATAGCTTCAGGCAACACAGTCAAGTTGTTAGGCCTCTAAGAGTGTTTTTTGTGGTAATACAACTTGCGGTCCTAGCCTCAGGCAATACAGTCAAGTTGACACAACCCACGGTGACAGACCTTTTACAGGGTTCTTATGGCAATTAAACCGGCGATTATAGCATTAGGCACATTCAATTTGACACAAACCACGGTGATAGGCCTTTTAGAGTGTCCTTATGGCAATAACATCGGAGGTCATAGGCTTAGGCAACACAATCAAGCTGACGCAACCAACGATGATAAACCTTTTAGAGTGTTTTTATGGCAATATAACTAGCGGTCATAGCCTCAGGCAACACAGTCAAATGGACACAACCCACGGTGATAGAGCTTTTCGAGTGTTGTTGTGGCAATTAAACCGGCGTTTATAGCATCAGGCAAGTCATTCAATCTGATACAACCCACGGTGATATACCTTTTACAGGGTTCTTATGGCAAAAAAACCGGCGATCATAGCATCAGGCAACAGAGTTAAGCTTCCAACAAACCATAGTGATAGACCTTTTAGAGTGTTCTGATGGCAATTAATCAGACGGTCATAGCCTCAGGCAAATCAAAAAATTATCTCCACCGGAAGCTTGATACGGCAAGATTATAAATGGCTCCGCCTTGATTTGGCCGAGTCTGTTTATTGACAGTAGTAGTAAATACATGTCCACACCCTCCCTCGAACACCGGCTTTAACAATTTTCAAGTAAACTTTATAAAGAGGCAAAAAGTGTCGTTTTTCTTTACCATTAAAAGTAACATATTATATATTCAACATAAAAGTCTTAGATATTAGATATCCAACAATGCATTCTGCTATTCAACTATGCAAGGATAGACTAGATAACCTCAGGTGGTATATATTCAAATTATATATAAAAATTTATTATCTTAGCTCTACAGTCACGTTGCCTGTACACATATCCAACGATATATTGTGTTGTATTTTCAGAAACTTTCAGAAACAGTAAATTTGATTTAGTGCAGTAAAGTATGTGATGTCAATAGAAACTTAATTGTTTTAATTTTGTTTTTAGATTTAATTTGTCTTAAGTTCGTGGAGTGGGGTGTCTCTCACGCAAGTCTAGAATAGTTGTTAAT